ATTATTAATTAATCCATAAAATTGTTTCATTTTGTTTGTAATATTGGAATGAAAATATTTAAAAAATAAACAAAAAATYATTTATTAATTAATTACGTATTTGAATTAAATATATAAATACTTCATATTTATATTTTTTTAAATGTAAATCATATTATTTTGTTAAAAAATTAGTAAAGGTTTAAAAATTAAATATTCTGATAAATACAAAATTATTAAAACAAAATGTATAATAATATGGGTTTTTATTCAATATAAGGATAAATGTAATAGCAATCAACTGTAACAAATACATATAATAGATATATAAAGAGGATGAAAAAGTTTAACATTATAAACTCTGATTGTATTAAAATCAAACATGCGCTTAGAATTAAATTAAATGTTATGTTTATAATTTTATAAACTTAATTATAGGTAATATGGAATAATAATAGGTTCTGTATTATTGACTACATTAATAATATAGAATTCTAATGATGTCATATTATGTTTAACCACACTATTTGCATACAAAATAAAATTGTGTAATTTTAACTACTTGTGTAATTATAATGTAAATTAGACAACACAACAATTATATTTTTTCTATGATACTTATTTAGAAATACCTTTAATGGCTTTTTTTTTTTAAATAAATAAATTAAGAGCTAAGTATACTATTTTAACATATAGTTTATTCAAATAAAGACTGTTGATTCACATATTTCTTTTTTATTCTAATAACAGAAATATGATAATATGAAGTAATGGTTTAAAAATATTGTAGTTCTAACATTTCTGCCAATTAACTTGCACTATAATACTTATATAACACCATATACCTAATGTTATGTAAATACATTAATAAAAACTGTCTACTATATTTGTATAGCAGTTTTATTTTTAAAAAAAATGTATATAATACCTATAGGCTATAGCTTTAAAAAATATTTAAATGATTTTAGCTATTGCACATTATTGTAATGAGATTGATTATGTTATAATTATCATATATTTTGATAACTTNGCTATATCTTTTAATCATCATATAACACATATTACTCATATATTTACATGCTCTCAGTTTTAAACTTAAAAACAAGTTAGTATTAAATCCTCTTAAGATGTTGATCTCTAAATACTATAATGTGTGTGTTTTGAATGAAAGTAAGAATAATATATTTTGTATGAAAAAAAACATTTTTTACCTTAAAGTCTAATAAATTAATCTGTGTATAAGGTAAATTATTTTCAATACATAAAGAAATAATAATATTAACTGATGGGTGAAATTCCATTAAAATAACTTGTCAGTTTGAGCTTTAATAAGTTAAATATTGGTCAATTTTTGTTGAACAAATTCAACTAGTGGAACAAGATACTGAACTATAGTGTATTTAGTTTAAAAATGGCATACTAAATGCTGTAGTCAGCTATGATCTTGCACCAATAGTTTCTGGAAAAAGATAGATGTGTGAGTAGATATTGAGGTCAGTACCGATATTGAAGATAAATGCATAGTTTCGATGCATTTTCATGTCTGACTAGCCATTCATAAACTGAATAGAGTATGGATCTATCATCAAGTTATTTCATTTTTAAGTTTTAATATTGCAGAACACTGCTAGATAATATATATATATATATATAAAAAAAACAGAATTCACTTATTATAATATATAGATATTAATACATTTAAGTTTACCTTGTTTTAATTTTAATCATATTTCAAATAATTATGTAGGCCCTAAGTTTATAATTTATATAATCTTGTAAATATTAAGTGACCTAATCATTTCTTGTAATACGATAATATTCTAAATATCATTTGTCTGGAGTTTCAAGACCAGCGTGGATCATCAAATCAGAAATATTCTTCTCTAAATCATCAATACGTGCACCCATGTCATCTAGTATTTATCAGTTAAGAAATATTAATATTATTAAGTTAACCTTAATCACAATCAAATAATATATATATAAAAATATTTATTTTTTTAAGTTGTAAGTAGTTGAAAAAGGATATTTCTCGATAATATTTGATCAGACATAGTTTGGAATTTGTCTTTCATATCTTGTAGAACAATTTGAATCTGAAACAAAATATAMAATACATTAAAATGTAATTCAATAATTAAGTAAGCAATAGGAACAACATTTAATATACTGGTAATTTTTCTGCAAAACAAATAAACGTTTGTTAAATTTAAATGTATCTGCATATTGACAATGAAAAATAAAGATAATAAAAGATGAGTTATGTTACAATGTTTTAAAATGCTCAGTTTAATAATATTACTTATTGTATTAAATATAATTTAA